AGGAGCGACGGGAGTATGTCCTGAATGACAGTGGAATCATATTTCAGGGACTGGAAAAACATATTCAACAAGAAGCTTGGAACTATGGGCAGGTAAAGAGCATCACCTAATCCAGGACTTTGAAAATAAGGACAGTGGGTCAATAGGCTCTTGAGGAGAGGGAATCATTATCTCATAGTATATGAGTTCCGTATTCCTCTCTCACTTATGATTTTCTTGCAGATATGTGTCTCACTTATCAATACATTACAGCAGCATCAGGAAAACAGGTGGGGAGTTCATCCTTGGGTTCATTTATGAAATTAGCCTTTAATATATTGCTTGTTTTGATTTCAGTTTGAAGAGGGTATCCTTGATATCTCTCTGGCTATACTGGATCGAAGCCTGAACCACCGCGAAGATCCAGCTGTTGATGTATCCAACCGAAATGATCCTATCTATGTGAGCAGGGTTATCAGTGCTATGGTAAAGTGATCAATTCGTTACAGCTGTTCAATGCGCCTACTAACAAAAATCCGATACTTTATTGTGAATGCCTCAATATTTTACAGGAGTAGCTAACTTTTCTTCAAAAAATAGCTACAGAAGAGGTAAAATAGAGATTTTTTTCTCAAGGAAAAATATCCCGAAAGTTTAATTTACCTTCTTCCCAGAAGTTTGCTCATAACTGAAGGAATGTTTCCAAGAATTTTGGGGGAACTTTGAATCTCACATGTATTTTCCTAGCAGATTTTCAGTCCACTAGATCGTTTCACTAATTTGGAAAGCCTGTGTCCATTCTGAAATCATTTGCTAAGTTTTTCAAACACCAAGAGAAGCGTGAAGTATTTTGGAAAACCGGTGTTGGTATGGCTGCATTTACTGTTTGTGTTTTGTAGCCTTCACTTAAGGGGGATTTCTTCGGTGAGGGCTGTATGCATTTCCTTCAACAGATAGTTACATCTTCTCAACACACCCCCATCCTCACAACCATAAATGCACATCTAGGCAAATGAAAAGTTTTCCACTTTATAGATAATCCACATTCCGTATCTAAGATTCCTCCCTTATAGCTCTGATCCTTTTCACTCTTTTAGACAGCACTCACTTTAGGCAATTTCAACTTCAATATGAAGTAAATAACTCTACTTAGACGGACAAAATTACTAAAAGTATGAATACTTAAGGAAAAAATCATTAAAAAAGAGCTTACTCTCTTCTGTACAACCATGCACAACACTTGAATAGGCCTCTAAACTGGATGTGCACAAATCCTTGTGAGCGCTTCTAACAAGTTTGAGCAAGCTGTATGTACTCTATGCACATTTGCAACAAATGCACATTTGGAGAAAACACCTACTTCTTGTGGCTTCCATATAAATCACTTGAGAATGTGAACCAATACTCACCACACAGCGTAATAGTATAATGACATACAGGGAGGTGAAATTAATCAATGAAACAGAGAAAATTCAAATAGGCTGGCAGTCAGTACATTCGGGAACATTTGTACTGAACAGCAAGGCAGTTCGGAATCACCTGACTCTACAATCTGAGCTGGGTTTGATCTAATTGTTGCACTTGAGCAGACAAAATTCTATCTAAAACTCAAATACTCCGTCCCACCACTCAGCCAATGGGAACAGTGGTACAAACAGGGTCATTTCTGCCTATTGCCCTTGCTCCCTTTTTCTGTAAATATTTTAATTGTCTCATGAGAAGGACTCTTTCAGGTTAACAGCAACGATGAAAAAGGAGTAGTGGAAGGGAAGTGGACCGGAAAGTATGGCTCGGGAACCAACCCCCTGCAGTGGAGTGGAAGTGTGACCATCCTTCGAAAGTGGTACAGGAGGAGATACAAACCTGTGCGGTACGGCCAGTGCTGGGTCTTTGCAGGAGTAATGTGCACAGGTACACACGAAGGGATGAAGAATGCTATAAGAAAGGAAGCTTACTAGAATTTCTGTAGTTTTAACTTTGTGAAATTATTCTTGAAGTTGTTTCAGCTTTGGCAGAGAGAGTGAAGAACCTACATTCTCCATGCACAAAGGGTTATTGTTATTTTCTTCTATTTTAAACTGCCTTAGTTGTAATACTGCACCCCAGTTTTGTGAGTCACCAAACAAAATGCAAAGCGGCTTGCCAGGCTGGACTGGTGAAGAGAGCAAGGTTGCCCCTGTCAAAGTTAGGATTCAAAGAAAATCAGTGCTCTTTTAAGTCTGTCTCCTCACAATGCCAGTTTTCTACTGTTGTGTCTTACCTACTGGTGACGCAAAACCAAATCACAGTTCTGAGGACCTGTAAAGGGAGCTGCAATTGGGGAAAAGCATTTTATCCCAGCAGTTTCCATTCAGAGCTGCTCTGAGAGACAAGAGTCACTTTGGGGAAAATACAAAGGGAAAACAATGCAATTGAGCGGTATGTCTTGGAGAGGAAAGGGAAAAAGAAGCAGGTAACAGAGAAACAAACATGGAGAAAATGGGAGAGAGAACAGGATGAAGAATGAAAGATTAAGATAAATGGGTGAATCTAACTCTTCTTAAAAAGACCATGGCAGCTAAGAATGTCATGGGCGTGCAACTCTCTTCTAAGCAACTGTGCACAATGACTGTGACTCACATCATGCGTGAGAGGGAAGTTTGTTTCCCTACTGAAAACATATAAACTAGCCTGCTTTGCCAAGAAAAATGGAAAAATACTTTCTAAATGCCTGTAAAATAGGTTTACAGCACTTTTATGGTATTCTATATTGCAGTTCTGAGATGCTTGGGAATACCTACTCGTGTTATTACAAACTTCAACTCTGCCCATGACAAGAATGTAAATCTGAGTATCGATAAGTACATTGACATTTCTGGGAAGACCCTGGACTTGACTGAAGACAGTGTGTGGTAAATATAATTTTCTTCTTAGTATTCCTTCCATTATATTCTCATCTAATTAAAAGATCTAGAATCGTGCTTCTGAACCCCCCCAACCTCATGCTCTCAGTGATATAAAACCCCATCCCAAATAATCAACCGAGCAGAGCGTTCAGAAATGCAGTATGTAGCCAGTTTCATCTTTCTGAAGAATTAACAGAGGAGATACTTTGTACCATTGCTGTTCAGCATATAATTTGAAAATATAATTGCTATTTTGGTCTCTACTGTATGAAAGTTTAAATTTTTTAAAAAAAATATTTGAAGAGTGACTAATCTCTTGCCCAAAAATGATATCAGCTTGTCCCTTGATTCCTAGAGCAGAGCGCCGTCAGAAGCCCATAAGTTTTAGGCCCAGCTCCTGTGCTACACGGGGTTGATTGTCTCAGTCTTTCATGACTACCATTGTACATCCCTTGCAGAATACTGAGAGGTTACTAAAGTACGGGTAATATTTTTAATGCAGCTGAGAAAAAATCCATCCCATCCCTTAGGAAGAACATGCTGTTTCTTTCACCTCAGAGAAGCTGCTAAAAATTATGCTTTTGTACTGCATGCATCAGTGTTTCAGGCACCAAGCACCCTATACCACGTGGACCGAATGGGACAAGGGTGACACAAAGTAGAAAGTAACTGTGAATTAAATACCAACAGATAGCAACGTGCGCAGGAGGCCGTTGGCTGTACAGCATGTTGTTCTGGAATGTCCAGAATTGAATAACTGACTCTGCAAGGAATTATTTCCTTTTAAGATTTTTTTTTTTTTCATAACATCCCAACATTTCTTAGAGATCTGAACACAAAGACCTGGCAAAGAAAG